TATGCAGCATATATACTTCCCCATAATATTTCTCCTTTTTAAAATGAAGAATTCAGGAGAAGACTACTCTAATATGTACATCTGCTAATACATGTGTAATGCTGTTTACCATAGACCAGCTAATGGACTTTATCCATGATAAAATTAGTCCATACTTTCAAAGTTTCCGTGTGTGAGTCTTTGTTGAATCAAAGTCTGTTCACATTAAGAGCACAGATTCTGATGCTTTGCGGTCTTGTTGCTTATTTGTAGCCTTCATACTTACAAGTATAAATCCACAGCTCAAAGAAGTTGGGCAGCAAGGAAGTTGGTAGCTGGGTTGTTCTGAAAAGATGATTTATGCGGATGCTCTGGTTTTATTTTACTTTATTTTATTTATTCGAGACAGAGTCTCACTCTGTCACCCAGGCTGGAGTACAGTGGCACAATCTCGGCTCACTGCAACCTCCATCTCCCAGTTCAAGCGATTCTCCTGCCTCAGGCTCTGAGTAGCTGAAATTACAGGCATGTGCCACCACACCTGGCTAATTCTCATATTTTTTTAGTACAGACTGGGTTTCATCATGTTGGCCAGCCTGGTCTCAAACTCCTGAACTCAGGTGATCCACCCACCTCAGCTTCCCAAAATGCTGGGATTACAAGTGTGAGCCTCCACGCTTGGCCAATGCTCTGGTTTATCACTGAGTGAAGTTGATTAGGATGATTGTAATTCACATCCAATCCACATGGGGTGAGGGTGGGGAGATCTTTACCCACCAGAGGTACCAACTGCACTGCTGAGGAATGCAGCCAGTTTGCAGCTGGAATAATCCTTTTCACTGTATTATCCATTCATTCATTCATTCAAATAGTTTGTGGACATCACTCTGTGTCAGGATGTAAACTGAGCACTGTGGAGGAACATTCTGACTGCATGGGGATAGATATTCTAACCTTACCTTTAGTAGAAGAAGACGTTAATCAATAAACAAGTGGGCTTATTTCAGAGTCTGGTAAGTGCTCCAGGGATTTCACACCATAGGGTGATATGATGGAGGGTTACACAGAGCAGGGGAGACTGTCAGGAAAGGCCTCACTGAGAAGGGCCCATTAGAGCTGAGATTTGATGGAACCTGCTATGTGATGGTGCAGAGGAAGAACTTTCTGGTCAGAAAACTGCAATGACAGAGAGCCCAGTCAGGAGAAGGATTTGAGGGGTCAAGGAGGAACAAGTACACCATTGTTTCTTTGGCATGGAGAGCAGGCTGTGGGTGCTGAGAGAGGAGCAGGAAGCTTGGCTGACAACACATCCTGCAGGCTCTTGTAGACCATGCTAAGGGTTGAAATTTTGTTATAAGTGCAACAGAAAGACACTGCAGAAGTTAAAACAGAGGGACATCATGCATCATGACCTAATCCCTTTTATAAAGAATCTTCTAGCAGTTCCCTGAAGAGCAGACTGTGGGAAACAGAAGCAGGAAGCTCATTGTCCAACCTAGCGGACAACATGGTGGCCCAGGCTAGAGCAGTGGCCATGAAGTGGGAGAGAAATGGTCTCTTGAGTCAGTAGTTCAGTCAAAGAATGGACCGGGTTTGCCCATGAATCAGCTGTTCCAGGAATGGGGACATCTCATGTTGCCGGAGTCAAGCTAGGGAAATGGATGAAACTGGAAATTTAGGTTCGAAAAGGAAATTTTTGCCATATTGAAGTTTGATCTTGGACCCCCAATCAACAAGGAAGTTCTACAGAGAACAGTTCTTTCATGCTGTGCTTTGGCATAACTATGATGGTTTTCCTTCATTAAATAAGTATTCATAAGAATAAATTTGCCACTCATCTACTCATACAAAGACTTACACATGATGCAATCTTATTAAACAAATCATCAATAGAGAGACTGATACTCATTATCTACCCAGATGACCCCTATTCTGGCTGCCTTTCCTCCCTTGCCCCAACTGCCAATGGCGAACAAAATCACTTAAGCCAAGTAAAGAGTTGTATAGTATTGAAATGCGGTTAAAAAAAAAAAAAAAAAAAAAAGCCTCCTCAGCCATTGTTAAAATACACTCACTGTGACAGATGTTTGGCATTTTTTGTATGAGGCTTTTCAATGCCTTACCTTTTCCAGTGCATGAGATTTAGTCTGCTTTGCAGAGGAAGACAGACAAAAAGGGTCTCTCAGCACGAGTTACTCTTCTGTAAAGGTTATAGTAAACATGTCAATGCCTAATTAAGCAGAAAATTTTATCTGTATTGTGGGGGAGGCATTTGCTGTCTCTGACTTTTCTTGTGGGGAATCCATTTAGAAGGACAATATAGATTGTGAGGTTGAGCTGGTCCGGAAAGCTCTGCTTCCAAATGTCAGTGAAGAAAGGAATACTTCTTTTCTCCTAGTTTGCAGATCACTATATTGGGTGGGCAGATTGTGCGTGCCTGCGTGTATGTGGGGGTGTGTTCACACCCATGCACATGCACACACACGGGCGCACACAGTAGAGTGCATGTATGTATATTTCATCAACATACACAGGAAATAACATAAATTACTTCCCAACTTCTTACTAAATGTCAGGCAAGGTGCGAGGCACTGAAAATACTGAGATGAATGAAACCCAGAAATACCCTTAGCCAATTGTGATGACGGAAAGCCCTTGTCCCCACCAAACCCGCAGATTTCTTTATTTGCTTCTTTGTTGCTGTAATTACGTTATCCATAAGTGTGGTCACCACGTGTCTTAGTTAGCCTGGAACATCCTGCCTAATACCTGTTGACCTAGTGTGTGTTCCCCTTCATTCTCAATGTGACCCTATTTTATTGATGAAATTTGTCTGATTCTCTGATGTTATTTTACTTGGCTCAGTAACAATTTATTTCATCAGTTGTTATTTAGTTTATTAATTTTATAACAGAAATTTTCTCCTTGAATGGTGTACGTATTTTTTGCAAACATACAAGTTAATCCAGGAAAAAGAAAATGGGATGATGCCATCAGGAATAATCTAATTCAGCCATATAGCCATTTTAAACTACAGTTTTCCTGCAAGTTGTGACCACTTATTCATGGTTTTTTGACTAGATTGAGTAGTTATTGTTTTTTCAAACCAATTTCTGAGACTAGGGACCAGTAACACCAATTTAATGAAAAATCCACCTGTCGATTTGCTAGAAAAGCAAAACACACCACACCAATAACAGTAAAATAACTAACACAACAATAAAACTCTTGGCTAGACTGAATTTATACAGTTCATCTTGTTTTATGGCATTCTGTCCCTAAAATCATGGGCTCTTGTCTCCAGTTTTCCCGCAGTTTTCCCCTCTGATGTGGTTATCTATTTAGTGACATTTCAGTGAAATTCCACTGTCTAACCGTTAGCCTTTGGGTCTCCTCAAAGGGTTCTTCTTCATTAGACTGACAATACAAAGAGAGTGGTGTCTCCTGTATTCGGGTATTCTCCCATCCGGCAGACTTGGGTGTATGTCCTGACTCTGCAATGCTAGCTGTGTGGCCTTGTATGAATTTCCTTACCATAAAGCCTCAGTTTCCCCATCTGTGAAATGAAAATAATAGTAGCTACTTCATGTGGCTATTAGACAAAATGAAAGAATGCATTTGCAGGGTTTAGCTTACTTCCTAGGAGACAGTAATTGTTCAATAAATATTCTTTCTATTCAACAGCAGCAGCAGTGGCAGCCTTTGGATTTGCTAGCTGTAGCTGCTTTATCCTAGCAAATCCCCTTCACTTCTAATTCTCTGTTCCTGCCTCACAGGACGAACCTCCAGTGCATGGCCACTCCTTTTCCAAGCTTTGTCCTTTGTGACTGGAAATAACAGAGCTGCTCTAAGGTTTTGCCAAGTCGTTACCTGCCACAGAGAGGGAAGATAGAAGTTCCTAAAGAAAACAGTGTATTAAGATTGTGCAAGCCTTGCAAATGTAAAACTGGATCTCCTTTTCTTTAGGACTTCTTTGGTTGCATTTTATCTGCATGGTTCTGAAAAGGCCAGGTGAAGAAAATGAGCCCATAGGCATAATGTCACATTCCCCATCTCCATTGATGGATATTTGCCCATTAATTCCCTTTGCACCAGCTCGCTCATGTCTTCATTTTCCCTATGCAATTACTGGTCCTAAATCCTTTCAGAGAAGGGAAAGCATGCATCCCCAATAGCATTTTGCATCTACAAATCAAATATATAATTGGCATCTCATGACGGGTACCCACAAATCACAGTGCATTTGAAATTACAGGCACAAGATCGAGAGGGCATTTTCAACCTTGTCTGGAAAGGTCTTCATAAACCTGTTGGAGAATAATAAGATAGTCGCAAAATCTCCCATTCTAACACCATTTGCGATTATTTTTAAATCATTATATTTGCTGAGCTTACATAATTTTTCAACTATCAACAGAAGATTTTATTTGCATATCCCATAATCCTGCTGTGTGATTCTCTACAAATAAAAATGTTATAGCAAAAAGACAGTGGCTATCAAAAATATAATGGCTGTGCATCCAAATTACTTCTGAGCACTCAAAAATGATTTATTTATATGGTTATATGCCAATATATCCAAGTGTCTTGGTAAACTTTACCATCTAGATGTCAAGAGTCAAATCTTAGTCTCCCTGTGAGCCAACATTCTTCCCTGTAGATATCTGACTTTAATAGGCTAGGAAATTCAACCCAGATTTCCTAAAAGTCATACACATGAATTTACCAACTATCTCATTACAAGAATATTAGAAAGATATTCCTTAAACCCGAAAATTATAAACTTGGGATCCCAGGCATTTATAAAGAATTATGGCTCCTGGCAATTAAAAAAAAAAAAAAAGCAGTAGATGGCACGAAAGACACCATTTGGCTTTCCTGTGTCCACTGCTCACAGTGCATAAAAGTGTAGATTAAATCACTGTTCAGTTCGGCATGGGAAGCATTTAGTCTGTGTGGGGAAACCGGAATGGAATATGGAGCCTGATATTGTCGTTTCATCTCTTCTTCTTCTCTTGCAGGCTACGCCCAGGAGGAACAGCTGAAAGAAGAGGAGGAAATAAAAGAAGAAGAGGAGGAAGAGGACAGTGGTTCAGTAGCTCCACTGCAGGGTGGCAATGACACGGGGACAGACGAGGAGCTAGAAACCGGCCCAGAGCAGAAAGGCTGCTTCAGCTACCAGAACTCTCCAGGAAGTCATTTGTCCAATCAGGATGCCGAGAACGAGTCTCTGCTGAGCGACGCCAGTGATCAGGTGTCGGACATCAAGAGCGTCTGCGGCCGAGATGCCTCGGACAAGAAAAGCAACACTCACGTCAGGATTCCGAACGAAACACACAACTGCATGGACAAAATGACGGCGGTCTACGCCAACATCCTGTCTGATTCCTATTGGTCGGGCCTGGGCCTCGGCTTCAAGCTGTCCAATAGCGAGAGGCGGCACTGTGACACCCGGAATGGCAGCAACAAGAGCGATTTTGATTGGCACCAAGACGCTCTGTCCAAAAGCCTGCAGCAGAACTTGCCGGCCAGGTCCGTCTCGAAACCCAGTCTGTTCAGCTCGGTGCAGCTGTACCGGCAGAGCAGCAAGATGTGCGGGACTGTGTTCACCGGGGCCAGCCGGTTCCGATGCCGGCAGTGCAGCGCCGCCTATGACACCCTCGTGGAGCTGACCGTGCACATGAACGAAACGGGCCACTACCAAGATGACAACCGCAAGAAGGACAAGCTCAGACCTGCGAGCTATTCAAAGCCCCGGAAGAGGGCTTTCCAGGATATGGACAAGGAGGATGCTCAGAAGGTTCTGAAATGTATGTTCTGTGGCGACTCCTTCGATTCCCTCCAAGATTTGAGTGTCCACATGATTAAAACAAAACATTACCAAAAAGTGCCTTTGAAGGAGCCAGTCCCAACCATTTCCTCGAAAATGGTCACCCCGGCAAAGAAGCGCGTTTTCGATGTCAATCGGCCGTGTTCCCCCGATTCGACCACGGGATCTTTTGCAGATTCTTTTTCTTCCCAGAAGAACGCCAACTTGCAGTTGTCCTCCAACAACCGCTATGGCTACCAGAATGGAGCCAGCTACACCTGGCAGTTTGAGGCCTGCAAGTCCCAGATCTTAAAGTGCATGGAGTGTGGGAGCTCCCATGATACCTTGCAGCAGCTCACCACCCACATGATGGTCACAGGTCACTTTCTCAAGGTCACCAGCTCTGCCTCCAAGAAAGGGAAGCAGCTGGTGTTAGACCCACTGGCTGTGGAGAAAATGCAGTCGTTGTCCGAGGCCCCAAACAGTGATTCTCTGGCTCCCAAGCCATCCAGTAACTCAGCAGCAGACTGTACAGCCTCTACCACTGAGTTAAAGAAAGAGAGTAAAAAAGAAAGGCCAGAGGAAATCAGCAAGGATGAGAAAGTCGTGAAAAGTGAGGACTATGAAGATCCTCTACAAAAGCCTTTAGACCCTACAATCAAATATCAATATCTAAGGGAGGAGGACTTGGAAGATGGCTCAAAGGGTGGAGGGGACATTTTGAAATCTTTGGAAAATACTGTCACCACAGCCATCAACAAAGCCCAAAACGGGGCCCCCAGCTGGAGTGCCTACCCCAGCATCCACGCAGCCTATCAGCTGTCCGAGGGCACTAAGCCACCTTTGCCTATGGGATCCCAGGTACTGCAGATCCGGCCTAATCTCACCAACAAGCTGAGGCCCATTGCACCAAAGTGGAAAGTGATGCCACTCATTTCTGTGCCCACAAACCTGGCCCCTTACACTCAAGTTAAGAAGGAGTCAGAAGACAAAGATGAAGTCGTGAAGGAGTGTGGGAAAGAAAGTCCCCATGAAGAGGCCTCATCTTTCAGCCACAGTGAAGGCGATTCTTTCCGTAAAAGCGAAACGCCCCCAGAAGCCAGAAAGACCGAGCTGGGTCCCCTGAAAGAGGAGGACAAGCTGATGAAAGAGGGCAACGAGAAGGAGAAACCCCAGCCGCTGGAGCCCACTTCTGCTCTGAGCAACGGGTGCGCCCTTGCCAACCACGCCCCGGCCCTGCCATGCATCAACCCACTCAGCGCCCTGCAGTCTGTCCTGAACAATCACCTGGGCAAAGCCACAGAGCCCTTACGCTCACCTTCCTGCTCCAGCCCAAGTTCAAGCACAATTTCCATGTTCCACAAGTCGAATCTCGGTGTCATGGACAAGCCTGTCTTGAGTCCCACCTCCTCAAGGCCAGCCGGTGTGTCCAGACGCTACCTGTTTGAGAACAACGATCAGCCCATTGACCTGACCAAGTCCAAAAGCAAGAAAGCCGAGTCCTCGCAAGCACAATCCTGTACATCCCCGCCTCAGAAGCACGCTCTGTCTGACATCGCAGACATGGTCAAAGTCCTCCCCAAAGCCACCACCCCAAAGCCCGCCACATCCTCCAGGGTCCCTCCCATGAAGCTGGAAATGGATGTCAGGCGCTTTGAGGATGTCTCCAGTGAAGTCTCGACTTTGCATAAAAGAAAAGGCCGGCAGTCCAACTGGAATCCTCAGCATCTTCTGATTTTACAAGCTCAGTTTGCCTCGAGCCTCTTCCAGACATCAGAGGGCAAATACCTGCTGTCCGATCTGGGCCCTCAAGAGCGTATGCAAATCTCGAAGTTTACGGGACTTTCAATGACCACTATCAGTCACTGGCTGGCCAACGTCAAGTACCAGCTTAGGAAAACGGGCGGGACAAAATTTCTGAAAAACATGGACAAAGGCCACCCCATCTTTTATTGCAGTGACTGTGCCTCCCAGTTCAGAACCCCTTCTACCTACATCAGTCACTTAGAATCTCACCTGGGTTTCCAAATGAAGGACATGACCCGCTTGTCGGTGGACCAGCAAAGCAAGGTGGAGCAAGAGATCTCCCGGGTATCGTCGGCTCAGAGGTCTCCGGAAACAATAGCTGGTGAAGAGGATACAGACTCTAAATTCAAGTGTAAGTTGTGCTGTCGGACATTTGTGAGCAAACATGCAGTAAAACTCCACCTAAGCAAAACGCACAGCAAGTCACCCGAACACCATTCACAGTTTGTAACAGACGTGGATGAAGAATAGCTCTGCAGGTATGAGTTTGCTCCAAGGCATTGTGACTAGCCTTGTGAGGAGCTTCTTATAGGGAGATGGGTCTGCTTAGAGGCAGCTAGCGTCTCCCAGTGCCAAGCAGGATAGTAGCTTGCTGGAGTAAGGTTTATTTTTATGAAAGACCAGAATGTGAAAAATAAGTCCTAATCATTCTCTCAAGTCCTCCAGTTTAGAGCTGGGAACTAGAATAAAATGGGTTTAGAGAGATGAAGTTCACAGATGACTACTGCATTTTCTAGGCTTTCATCATCCATCATCCTGAGTTACCCAAGCAAGCTCCAGTGTCCAGCCAATGCTATCTTTCATTTTAATTATTAGATACTAACTTCTGTCACCATTCCATTTCACCACCCCACCTTTCCATAGTAATGCCAATGACTTATAAAGTAATAAAAAGGTTAGCAATGGAAGAAACACTGGAGCTTTGCTAGAAGTAGTTACTATACTGAGATTTCTTAATCAGCTCATGAATAGCTTAAAGTTGTCTTTATGAATGTTATTTGTAATAATTGTTTTTCTGCAGCTTATTTTTAACAATTGCCACCTTCCATTCTCTTCTCCTTGGTTACTGTCTACATTAAGTTTCCTGTGAATGAGCATGCGCCCTTAACAGGATGGTGGAAAAATATGCTTCTTTGCGGAACATTGAGATGAAAAGAGAAGCAGCTTATTTTCTTCTCTCATCTTTTAGTTTTCTTGTGAATAGACCAGTATTAGAGTCTACCTTTAGCAAAGATGAGGAAATGCATGCCCTTGAGGTTTTATTTCTCATAAAGAAACAAATGGCTTTCTGCACACTTATTGTTCGTGTGCATGGAGTCCCACACCTTCAAGATAATTTGCATCATGTATCATAGACGTTTTATGCCTTATATTGTCACCCATGCCCAGTGTATTTGTGTCATTTTTAGGAAACAGGGCAGAGGTCAAATGCCTTAGCAGATTAGTCCCACCAGCCATTTTCAAATGTTGAGTATAAGCAAGGTTGGGTCTTAACAAATCTCTTTCATTTGCCTTTTTGTGTTTTCTCTGCTTCTTTTTCTCTCCCTTCCAGCATGATGCTTCCACACGCTAAGTGCCCTCCTATGTTTTCAGGTGGTCCTCCACCTTGGGCCATCCCAAGACGGGAACCCAACCTGAACTAAACCTTCTGCGCTGACCAGTCCAGTTTATGTCATGCTAAGTTAAAGATTTGCTCCTAATTCATTAGCTCTTAATTAATTCAAAACAAAATATGAAAACCTAATAACATATAATCACTCACCACCTCCTATTGTTAGAGTATTGGCTTATAAATAGAAGACTTTCAGAACAAGCTAGAGAGGTAGGACACTAGGAGAGTTCCAGGTAGAGAGGGGTATTTACATGGCGTGGCTTTGGGCTCATTTCAGATCAGACAGAGACTTACCTGAGTGTGAAGATGGCCAAGATGAAATAAAAAGTTATGGCCTGGGACTTTCCCCTGAGTGAGGAGCTCTACCCTTCTGTTGGAGAGGAGTCATCCTATAATTCTAATTGCTATCTGGCCCCAAATGAAGACCATCTTTTTGGTTTGCATGTTTTTATCATGATGATTAAATGTGTTATTGGCAGATTCTTCTCTTTCTCTCCAAGCATGATTTGTTCAACTCACAGTATAGAAAGAAAAGCCGAAATGCATCCATTGAAGTCGCACCTGAGCTTGGGGCTCGACAACATCCTATTTATTTGTTATATAACATTTTAAATCTTATATAACTTGCCATTATGTTTTCCTGATTCTTTTTTTTTTTTTTTAAAGTGGGCATACACAGAATACCTAGAAAGAAGAAAGATATTTCAAATCCAACAGTAGTGGGTTGAAACCATGGTGAAAAATACAAATAAGTAATATTTATTTGTGGCATAATAAAGACCACTTTTCCACCTGTTAGGTTTATAATCTTTTTTAAAAAAAATTTAATATAATTGCCAAAACACTGTGGTATGGAAATAGGGAGAGCGAAGGAAAAGAAAGCTTGATCCATCGTCAGTCAGAATCTGAAATGTATACTACCTGTTCTAGGGATTCAAAGGTAAACCGATAATTTGGAAAAGCATATACAGAAGGTACTTAAAAATCTGTTAAATGCATAGGTAAGTTAGCTATTTTGGCCCCTCTCTGCATTTGTACAGGATGAGCATATCTAATTTGGACCTTGAAAGTGCTGTCTTAGTGTTTTTATTATACAAAACCAAAGCTCCATCCTTACAAGCACCATTAGGCTGTGGCTCCAAGAGGACTGCAGAAAAACAGATTTGAATGTTTGAGACTCATTCAAAGCCGTGATCTTGTATGTATGTTTTGTGTACAGAAGAGAAGGTGCAGGTACTGGCTGTGTTGGTATTCATCTTAAAAATGCTCCTATCCGCCTGAATGTTTCCCCCATCTGTACAAAGGTCGATTCTTCATGCCTTGGCCACCTTAGAAAAAAATGCCTCTACTCCCAGGATCCTCTTTTAGGATATTTATGTAGTGCCTGTATTGATGCATGTAAGGTTTTTAAATGGTCGTGAAATGACATCACTGTTATCTGGAACTCTAACCTTAGTTGTAATGTATGATAGCACAAATTGTGCAAAATGGCAAAGTGTTTTAGAAAGTATGATCAAGATTTCGTGGAAAATTTGAGAGCTCTAACAGATCTCTGTTTTCTGATAGACATAACTGTTGATCTGATTTTTCTTTCCTCTATCCACTATATCTTAAATCCTGCAAAATGCTCTGCCAAATATTAAATGCAACTTTTCATTAAAAATTCGTTAGAAAATATTAAGTGTGCATCTCTATTTTAGGACATAAGTAATCTAAAACAATTTCAACGTGTGTTTGTATATATCTTTAAAAGCCACATGCTCTTGACTAGTAGAAATTAAACAGAGAGCAAATCAATGAGTCTGAAATGCATAAAGGCTTGAAATTATAGTCATTACCGTGTAATATAGTATACAAGTTTAACAGCACACCTAGCCTTGAAATTGTTGGCAGGGAAGTATTCTAGTCCAATGAGCTGCCACTTTTGTTGTGGGCGGCTTGATAAAAACACATGTTCAGGGTGAAAAGCATGTAAGGTTGCCAGATAAAATACGGAATGGACGTCCAGTTAAATTTATATTTCAGATAAATGACAAACATGATCTGAGTGTAAGTCTGGCCCAAATATTGCATGGACCATACTTATATTTTAAAAGTATTCATTGTTTATCAGAATTCAGATTTAACTGGGCATCCTGTATTTTTATTAGCTGAATCTAGCAATCCTAACAGCATAGATTATATGGCAATCTGGGAAGAATCAGACAGCCTGGACAAATTAATGTCTATTAATGGCATCAACCATTCCTTCCTCCATTAAATAAATATTCCTTCCTTTCATCTTCTCTTCCCTCATTTCTTCCCTCTTTCTTTCCTCCCATCCTTCTTTCCTTCCTTCCTTCCTTCTTCTTTCCCTTCTTTCCTTCCTTCCTTTTTTCCTCTCTTTTCTTTCCTCCCTGCATTCCTTTCATCCTTCGACAAATATTCGTTATGCTTTTACTATGCACCAGACTCTATTATATTTAACAATGGAAATGTAATAGTGAACCAACAGTTCTACCAATTATAATAGCAAAATGTGCCAGGCCTTGCAGCAAGCACTTTGCAAACATTATTTTACTTTATTCTCACAAACAGCCCCATGAGGTAAAGGTTGATTCACTCATGATAGGGAGGAGGAAACAGAGGCAGAGAGATTCTGCCTGAATTTCCCAAGGTCCTACAATCTCTGAGGCTCACTCATTCATTATGACATATCTAGAAAGCCATCGTTCCACAGCAAGCACTGTGCTAATTCCCAGGGAGTAAGCCATAACCAGGACAAGAGTCTGCCTTTGAGGCTAGCCACAGACACACAGATGAAAAATTCTAGGGGAAATGCTGAAAGGAGCACAGAGGAGGTGACTCTGCCTGGTTCTGGGTGAAGCCGGCATAGGGAAGGGTGGTCTCAGAGGCAGTGTTCAGGAAAGAATGCTGGGTTTAAACCCCATCTCACCCACTTACATGAAGGCATGCCCCACTTCTACATCTACGTGATGTGGACATAAAGTCCCTCTCATAGGAAGGTTGTGAGAATTAAATGTATGTAATTGTTTTCCTTAAAGCCTGGCACATAGTAGGCTTACAAGAAAAGCAAGTTCTAGACAGAGCTGCTGGAGCCTCTTACTGTGTTCTGTAGCCTCGCCTGAAGCGTAGAAAACTCACAGCAACTTCTCAACTTTAACTAATTAATAACCTCGCCAAAACCTCAACCTGCTATTTGATTCAGATAACAGTGGCAGTGAAACTATTGTTGACTGGCCTCTTTTTATAAGCCAGGCATGATTATTCATAGTACCCTCATTCTGCAGAGAGGTAAACCAAAGCTCAAAGAGTTTCACGATTTGTCCAAAAACACGGAACTAAGCCTGGAGGTAGGATAGGAACCAAGGACTGTCTAATACTCATCAACTTTCTTCTGCTTCTTGGTTTCCTCCTCCTTGCCTGATGGTTTCTAGGCCATACTTCTGGTCAGACGTACCTTCAACAACCCAGAGAAAAAGTTATAAAATGTGGCCTAGGAGTTGAGAGGGAAAAGGGCATTCTCCTGGGCCTCTTGGAGGCTTTAGCTTTCAACCAAACATTGCAACTCAGGGGCCCAGGACTGACCGCAGGGTGAAGTAGAACATACTTGTTCATTTTCTTTTAATGCTCTTGTTCAGTCAGGTAATTATATATTTGCCGTATGGTGTCTAACCAAGAAATGACCCACATTCCAGTGAAAATATATATATATGTAAGATTAAAAAAGAAAATCCTCATTCTGACCCTCAGGAATTCATTTTAGGGAAACAAAATGAAAACTAGGCAAACAGGGTCAAGTATGAGACTCTGGCATCTCTCAAGCAGCAAGAAACCAATGCATCATCTTCCTTCACATTTGCAACT